ACGGCTGAAAGGTCGAGCATGTTTGGTGTGACAGGGATTCGAACCCACGACCCTCAGATTGCGAGTCGAGTGCCCTAACCACGTGGCCATGCCAGGCTTTCTAGGAGGAAGAAGGATGTAATATTACGTTTTCAAATTTGTAGGGTGATTTTTTTATTTTCCTTTAATAGTAGCAATTATTGTATTTCCTGATGCTCTTCGTAGAGGTATACAACCACTATAGAGTCTAGATGAGAACTTCGGGAAATAATTTCCAATGGTCCAGTTGTAGTAATTTCTTCGATTTTTAAACTATCTCCCTTATTTTTATGGTTTCATTAGTAGCAACTACCATTCCATAACCCCGTGAATCAGTAGTTTTACGTGACGGACGTATTAAATTTGAATATCCACATGCACTTATAATGTTTTTTAGTTACTATTTTATTGCACTTTTGGGGCTCGTGAATAAGATTAAATCTGAGAGACAACCCGTTCGTGTTTTATCATTTACGCATTGTAGTTTGTGACATAATTTTACATATTTTATGAGTGTTGCTTTTTTTTTACCTAGTTTTCCTATTCTTCTTCTTTACGACCTTAATCCTAACTATTTTTGGGGTCGGCCGATAATTTTGGAAGCCAAGAATACTTTTTACATCCCGGTAGATGGTCCAGTCAACAACCATTTAGGACGAGTTTATTGGGCGACGGGGATTCTAATTTGCAACCCTCAGATTGCGAGTCGAACGCCCTAACTACTAGGCCATGCCAAGCTTTTCTTTACCTACTTTTCTGAAAAAAAAATTAAATTATCATAGACAGTAAGAAAATGTGACTGTACAGAGGTATTATTTCAGTTTAGATGTGGAAGTTAATACATCTATTGTCTTATCGGTTAGCTTAGAAGAGCATTTATTGTCAATTTGCAGTATGGTACTCAAGTCACCTTGAAGATATAGCACCATTAACAACGCTGCTGAAAACATCACAATTATTTAGCCAAAATACTAAAAACCGTAAGTAATTAGGCATCCACTCTTTACTATGTTGGTAATAAAAAATATCAATCAGTAACAAAAATAAAGTTTTAGGCCGTAAAAATGGAATAACAGCCGAGACAATAGTTTGAGCGGAAATCTACATCTGTGAGAAAGAAATTGCGGATAATAACTTTAATTTAGGGCAGTCAAGTGTACAAGTAACTCGGCGTAAATGTAATGATGGCTACAAACGAACGGCTCGAGTATTATTAGCGTTTTACATTTTGGTAACAAAATAACCCTTAATGATTTTCTTTTTTGTTTTGGGCACTTCAGAAAACATAGTTTAAATTAGGAACAACCTTGGAAAACTGTGAACAACGGTTGGAGAAAAAATACACACATAACCATGCAATAGTAGAAAATACCGTTTCTAAACATCTTATCACCATTCATGAGTGGTAATTAAGCTTCCGAAACACATATTCATCCCTGAAAGAGGGGGAAACTTCTGTTTGCTAAACATATATGTATCTCTGCAAAAGTGAGAACCACGGTTTCTAAGACATATAAGACACTCCAAAAGTGAGAACCACGGTTTCTAACACATATAAGACACTCCAAGAGTGAGAACCACGGTTTCTAAGACATATAAGACACTCCAAGATGAGAACTACGGTTTCTAAGACATATAAGACACTCCAAGAGTGAGAACCACGGTTTCTAAGACATATAAGACACTCCAAAAGTGAGAACCACGTTTCTAAGACATATAAGACACTCCAAAAGTGAGAACCACGGTTTCTAAGACATATAAGACACTCCAAAAGTGAGAACCACGGTTTCTAAGACATATAAGACACTCCAAAAGTGAGAACCACGGTTTCTAAGACATATAAGACACTCCAAAAGTGAGAACCACGGTTGCTAAATTACGTATGCAACCCTGAAAGATTAGAAACAACGATTTCTAGAACACTTCTATAACCATAAAAGTGTAAGAACCACGATATGAAAGACAAATAAAACCCTTTAAAAATGAGGCTCACGATTTGTGAAACACTATATATAACCTTGTAACAGTTAAAACCACGATTTCTAAAACACAAATAACTCTGAAAGAGTAGGAACCGCATTTTACAAAAACAACCCAGCAGAAGTGAGAATCGTGGTTTGTAATACAGGTGTATAATCCACCAAGAGTGGGAATCACATTTAGAAAAACACATGTACAACACTGCACACCAAGAATGACACTCACGTTCAGGAAAACACATGTAAAACACTGCAAGGTCTGGCATGGCCAGGTGGTTAGGGCGCTCGACTTGCAATCTGCGGGTCGAGGGTTTGAATCCCCGTCCCATTAAACATGATCGCCCTTTCAGCCGTGTGGACGTTATAAAGTGACAGTCAATCCCACTATTCGTTGGTAAAAGAGTAGCTCAAGAGTTGGCGGTGGGTGGTGATGATTAGCTGCCTTAATTCTAATCTTTCACTACTAAATTAGGGATTTCTGACGCAGATAGCCCTCGTGTAGCTTTGCGCAAAATTCATTACAAACCAAACCAAACAACCCTGTACAGTGACGACCAGGGATTGAAAACAAATAGCCAACCCTCCAAAAGTTGAAACTACGATTTGTCAAACATATATGTATCTCTGTAAGAGTGGGAACCATAATTTATAAAAACAAATATAACCGTACACGAGCAAGAAGTAAGGTTTGTAAAATATATGCACAATCAAGCAAAACTGGGATCCATGATTAGTAAAACATATATGAGCCTGCAATAGTAGGATCAACGGTTTGTTAAACACTTCTAAAACCATTCAATAGTGGAACCCATGTTTTAAAAACGTATACAAAACGCCGAATGTTTGTAAAACATCTATACAGCCGTGCAAAGTGTGAATACAAAACGCCGCATGAGCGATAACCACAGTTTGTAAAACATCTATACAGTCGTGCAAAGTGTGAATACAAAACGCCGCATGAGCGATAACCACAGTTTGTAAAACATTTATACAACCGTGCAAAGTGTGAATCAAAGTTTGTAAACACATGTTTAACCCGG